AGGTTGCAATGACGTCATTAACCAACCCTGGGTCGTTCAAATCCTGTATAATCGAAAACGCTATTAAATTCGACTATTCTATTCGTCGAATTCACATAAAATTTTCACTCCTAATGCCCGTATCAGACTACACTGGGTGTTTTGCATTTAGACCAAATTTCCACTAAGCGCATCACGCGTCACGTTATCTGCTGCGTCACGAATTAACCAATCAAAACATCCCATTTTATTGCATTATTTGCCGCGCGAATAAAATGGAATGTTTCGATTAATTCGTGACGCGACAGATGACGCCGACACGTGACGCGCTCAGTGGGAATTCGGCCTTAGTAACACAAGTCGACTCCTAGTACCATTTTTGCTTTCCATTACATTCTTTGACCAGAGAGAAGACTGAGAGTGGACATGCCCGCTTTTTTCGTGTTTCTGTGGGCTAGCGCCTCTATGTGCACAAAACGTGCACATTGAACTACGTAGCCAATGTCTACGAATCCCGTAGGTAATTTCCACGATCTTTTGGGTCTCTTCCGTGCTATGTCCACGACTTTTTGGTTCCGATATGTGCTATATCTACAAAGTGTCGGTAATGCATACTTGTAAAACATGATTATGTATATCAATCAGATTTGAAATATAAATACACACGTATTGTAAATACATGTATTGTAGCATTTATTTTTGCATTTACAGTTTATTTAGCAAAAAATCAGTTATTTTCAATAACCTGTGTAATTTGAAAATGTACATTTAAATTATTTTAATAAATTACTTCTATAATTTTGTGTGTGTGTGTGCGTGCGTGTGTGTAAGTAAAGTATTGCATTTTTGTCAATATTTAAAAAGATGATAAACTCTTATAGATATTTCATACAGTAATGACCAATAACTTCTCAGTAAACAAGAAACATTAAATCAATGTTCTGAAATATTAATTTTATGTAAATTTTCATAATGTTTAGATATAATGTTGTATACATATTTTAAATATATTATTTTATAATATAGTTTTCTTAAATATCAGAGAAA